TGCTGCACAACCTCTGGGGTTTGGTTCTCCTTATTCTCATCCATGGTCAGGTCCAAGGAATCTAGCACATCTACACAAGACCAAGACACAGACAAGGCAGTTAACTTAATTATTAAAATACTAGTGATGTTATCTCTACTTAAGTGCCCACATAACACAGTTTAATTAATGTTCTATAAAATATATTTGCATTTCAGTCAACCTAGTTTTTGTGCTCTCTGAATTTTTAGGGGTATAATTCACCAAGTTCATCACAATATAATCTTATAACGATTCTTAGGGCTGTGACACATCAAGCCAAAGGTTGGCCGTCAGCCACTATCAGGCCGTTGGTGAGCATCCACTGATTGGCTGTTGAGCTTAGTGAATCAATGCATGAGAAAAGAAATGTTCAGGAAAGCCCCTTGAGCCTGTCACAGTAGAATCCACGATTTTACCCATTTAATGCAGTTTCTCCTTGTTTTTCACCTCCACAGCCTCGGCAGAGAACAGCAGTGCCATTTTTCTAGCTCTAGTCTAGCTCCCATTCTTTCCCTGCCCAAATGATGAATGAGGATACCGCCACCTGCTGGTAGGGGGTGTTATTTCTCTTACACAAGTACAGAACAAACATGCCAGTTGTCTGTTGTTTGTGTGGTGTGTTCAAATGCCACTTTTTCAACCTCACTGGTCCAGACAAAGGCAGCACGAGGCTCTCCAACAATCGGCCTACGTCGCTGTTGGTTCTTTGTCGACTTGGTGTCTCTGCCCTTAGCCAGTGATCTGCTGTTTGCCATGATGTGATTGCAATTTGATTAAATTCAGGGGCCTGCAATCGATATCAAATGACAGTGTGCCTATTTCACACAATTACATTTTTATTAACTCATAAATGCAACAAAAGTATAATTTAGAAACTTTATTGAACTCCTCTGGTAATTTAAGTACTATTTAAATATAAATAAGGAGCCATGATGACCTTCCAATTCAACACAGGCTTTGACTTGGAAGCATTTACATCATCATAAATACAAAAAAAGCTAGAAAACACATTCATTCATTGTGTGTGCCCTTGATATAAAATACTTCCATATTCACAACTTGTTTC